TGAGCGAGGTCTTCATGCTGAGTATTTCTGTGGCAGATGCCCTTTTTTTTAACTCTGGAGCGTGATGAAGATAACTGTGTTGTTGTTTGTATATTTTTCTCTTGACATAAATGTTTTCATTTCTGACTTTGTTTTGACACAATCACAACAGTGAGTCGATATGTCAGTTCATATTAGGCATTTCAGCTGGGTGTCCTGTTAGCTTAGCCAGGGGTCATTGTGGATATTGACTTATTTGTTTGCTATGGTTTTATGGTTCTTTGTGATTGGAGCATTTTTGTGTACAACATGTACCGTGTGTATATATACAGGGCGATCCAGCACTGTAAAATGCAAAGATCAGAAACGATCAAAGGTTTAATTGACTGATAAGCCCCCCCGTGTTGAGATCAAACACTTGCTAGTCCTGCAACCACAATCAGCACTTTCTACATGCAAGCTGCTGCTTCTCGTGCAAGGTCACCTTAACCCTTTGGATGGGTTACGGATTATTGTGTACATCATAGATCAATGTGGCGTGTGTGAAACAGAAACATCTCAATGCTAATGCAATGAATCCTGAGTTCTCATGGTGAAATCTCTTTTTATTGGACCAAGTAAATTAAACATCCAAAATGTTTGTTCATCATTTGCGTGTTTGCTTATGTGCTGCTGCTTTGTACTAAGCAACGATGGTGCTGTAGTTTACAGCCAATTGATTACAGTGCACGCATTTCTAATACTGATTTTGTCATTTTACAGATTCAGAAATCAGGTGGATTCTTTGAAAAAATACTCCTCCGATTTTCAAGTATCATTATAATTTGAAAAGTATTTCATAAAGCTGCACTCTTCTCCCAGGTATATTTTAGTTTTTGTTTCCCTGCAATAATTACCCACTTTATCAATAATGAATAATGCTGTAATTAAAATCTTTAACACGGTAATTTACCACAATAATTCTACTAACATCATTGTAAAGTATATGACGCTATAAGCAACTATATAACACCATCAATATTGTTACACATGCTGTCATTTGTAGGCCGTCTCATAATTTATAATCCCTCTCCTGAATGTCCCTTTTTCTCAGATTTGCTTATACGTCTGGTCCGATCAGAAAACACTCCAAATTATTCCAACTTGATTAACAACACCTGTGCAGGTTTGTGAGAATCGATAATTAGCGGGATCATTTCTTTATAAGAACTCCTGTGGTGCTCCATTTGTGAGTTTCATAAGAATTAAGAAAATACAGCAAGGACACTTCACAGTGGGAACTTTGCCAGGCTGCTCAGTAATCAGCAGATGAAAACAAAGCACATTTAGCAGAATAAGTAGTGGTATTAGTGGGCAGAAGGATATTAGCAAAGCTGTGAACACAGTCTTGCTCACAAAGCCGGAACTGTGAGAGAAATGAAGGATGGATTTAAACAATAAAAGAAAAAAAAACATCTTCCTGCAGCAGAGTGGTCCATAACTAACATGGGTGGCGGGAAAAACGACGTAATGTCGCAGAAATAATATATTTCATAAAAAGTTGTGTCACACCTGCAGAAACACTGCGTGGATATTCTCGAATCAATAACTACTCTTATTGTGTGTGTCTTTTATTGCAACAAATGTATACAGTTTTATACTTTGAACTCATACATCTGTCCTCACATCCTAAATTCACCTAATGGCCTTTTTATCTCATTTAGAATCGAATCCCCAGACCAAGACTGCTGATACTATCCATCCGCTCGGTTCCACTGTGACTGCGACCTTCACTGGCAGCATCTGTAACGTTGTGCAGTTATGCAGCTCTACAGCTGTATAGGAATGTCTTCAGCTCTGGGTTCTTACTGCGTGGCAGTGAAAGAGCTTTCATCTCTCGAGTCTCACTTTTCTCCTTCACCATCTGGATGTTCTGCTCCTCACTCTGGCCTCCTCCTCTTCTTTTACAAAGTGGGGAAACTTTGCAAACTGCTCACTGTAATGTTTCTCCATGTCAGGCTTGTAAATGACTTCAAATTACCTCAATTTGACATGTTTTTTCAAAACTTTGGCCTGAAAGAGCTTCGGGGATCACTGGAGCTGTGTCTGAATCTGCACTTGTGTGTTTTTGAATCTCTGCAGATATTACTCCGATGTCCACACATTGAGTTTCTCAGTGCAGACTCCAGAGAACTATTGAAGCTATTGGGGTGCTGATCTGTAAGCATCAGATTCTTTTTCTTTGATAACTATCTTATTGTTTAGCGGGCACTTGTGTTTTTTTCTCTCCCTCCAACCGCTTTCCAGACAGTCCCTGCAGACGCTTTGGCCTTGTGACAGAATAACTTTAGACTCCACATTTCAGAGCACAGATTCTTCACTGGGAAGCCATTTTCTCTCTCTGTCTGAAGCTGAAACAACACGGACAAGAACAGTCAGTTCTTTTAAAAAAAAAAAAAACGCTTTCAGGGCCTCATGTACTAACGCTTCTTAGCGGCAACGTGCACGTAAAAGCATGGCGGGGTCTGTACAAACAAGCCGCACTGATCTGAAAGCGCGGACAGCCTGTTGCAGAAACTGGAAAAGGAAAATTGTGCGTTTCCGTGTCACGCATATGTATAACACATCCACCTCGTTGTCACTGAATTTGAGTTTTTGCCTTTTTTGACCTGCGCTGATCCATGATAGAAAGAGAGAAGGAGACCCTTTCAATTGCGCGTTTAAATGCTCGCAACGTGCGGTGTTGTGGGCGGAGAAAGGCGCTGATTACCTGATGATCCGGTTTTCGTAAACACAACGTAAACTCAAGTATCACAGCGAGCGTTCTCTGCGCGCTTTCTGCGTGTTTTCTGCGTTGCTGAAAACGTTTGCAAATGATCGTCAGCAGGTTGAAGTAACACCATCATTTTGGGTTTTGTATGAAGGTGAATGTTTTTTTTTGTTTCGGTCTCTGTGTCACTCTTAAGTATTAAATGATAAATAACTGATGTATCGTCTCAGGTACATGAGTGGTGGAGCTTAATCACACCTGTAACAGACGTGATTGAAGTTACACCGTCCGGTTTGACTGCCCATGTTCTTGGAGACCCCATGTCAAAGTACCTTGGCACCAGTTAATTGGTTAATAGTTTTATTAACCATCAATAAAGCAGACTTTTGTTTCTAGGCTTTTCTTTTGTTCTTCCGTGCTCAACAGCACCGTAGTGTTGGGGCAAACACAAACAACTGGACCTCTGTGATTGCTGCAGCACATCTGTACGGGAGCAGATGATATGTCTTTGCAAAGCGGTACCGGTGCATTTGTCATCCAGAGGTCTGCCAGAAGTGCAGTAGCCAGAGGGAATTACCATCTGTTAGTCCTCTCCCAACATCGAACGCAGTACTAACCGTCTTCCTCATGCACAATTACCCGCACACACACTCCACAGGTCGGATTCTTTTCCACAAGATTGCCTCAGTCGCTGCCTCGGCTCACTCCTAAAGCCTGATTTAGCAGCAGATTAACACGGCCGAGCGTCAGGAATTGTTTGCAGACCCGAGGTTGGCGCACAACTGTTTCCCATGAAGGATCAGGTCAGTAAGAATACTCTGAGCTCTGCCGTGGGATGAATTACAAGACACGTTGTCACGCAATTAATCAGTGCCTCCAAATGTATGACTTCCCTTTCATGTTGTTAGTCCTTTCCATAATTTGAATTTGCTATAGCAGGTACAAGATTCACTCTTTTCGGTTGGGATTGGTCATGGACTAGTTTCTGGGAGAATTGCAAGAGGCAGTTGATTACCAAGAGAGCAAGACATGAAAGTTAATGTGAAATTGGGTGCTTTAGTAGAATTGTAATCCCTTTCAACTGCCCTCACAGTCCCAAGCCATTCTTTCTTTCTGCTGCTGCAAGTATGTCAGTCTTGACTAGACACGTTTCAGTTTGCAGAGATGCTCGAGGTTGTCTTCAGATTTTTCTATCAGGTGGAAAGGGTTGGCCACTGCTTTGCTCTGCTCTCTCAACAGGAATCCTAGTTTTAAGCTGACCAGCGGACCTGGTATATTTAAAGCCAGATACACAAATTGATTATTAAGACAACGGCACAACTAAAGAGGATGCAAAGACGAGCAAACATCTATCTAAAGAGAAAGGAATGGATAAAGAAAGAAAAAGATGAAGAGGTTGTTTAGAATGCTCCATGTCTTTTTCATCATTTCTCCCCCTTAGTTCTCTGCATTTATTTCTCTGTCAATTTCAAAAGCCTTTCATCCTATCTGCAGATCATACATCTTTTCCAATCCGTTTCAATCTACCCTGTCTCTTTAATTCTTGAGGCAGTCAAAGCAGAGGAGACAGCATGCTCAGAGAACAAAACAGAGCGCACTGTCAGTGAAACTGAGCCTCCACATTTCACCTCTTGTCGCTCTCATTTTCTCTCCTTCCCATTTCCTGTTTCTCCCTCTAATCTAATGGCCCACCTGCCTTTGAGGTTTCGTTTAGTAGAGGTGACTTCCCAAAGGAGCTTTCATATTTGTTCTTCCTACTCCTCCTCTCATCTCCTGGGGATCCTGCATGTGAGCGTGACATGTTGTTCCCCTGGGCATTGAGGGAGGCAGGTAGCCGGTTCTCAGAGCTGATGATGAGGCATTCCTCTCGTCCGTGTGTGTTTGGCTGCGTCCACGTCATGTGTGTACGTCGCTATCACTGTAAAACGTGTTAATTTGCATTCAAATCATTTACAAGCGTGCATTTGCACGCAGTGCACGTGCAAGCTATGTGTTACACAAATAGGTACGTGAAGACTCTGCTCATGTAAAGTACATTTTTGCCTCCCTCTCTCTCTCTCTCTCTCTCTCTCTCTCTCTCCTAGTTTGTAACGGACACCGACATGCGTCTGGGTATAAATGACTCATTAACTCAGCGATGGCCATGCATCACTGATTGAATTGATAACGATAGATGGAGGACGAGGGAAAACAACCTTTCCTGTTCTTTCCCATTCCATTCTTCTTCCCCCGCTCCAACACACACACACACACACACACACACACACCGCTCTCTCTCTCGCTGTCCCTCTCTTCCTCTCTCACACTGCCTCAGCATCTCAGAGCCACCGGCAGACTAAACAGTTTGTGAAGGTACTCGCCAACAGAGTGGAGCCAGCACTGAGGCGCACACAGAAGAAACGCATGCACACACTCACACACATGCTCGGCGAGAGACCGGGGGGTGGACCGAGGCTCCAGCAGTAGCATGTCCACCGGCTGCAGTCAGACATGTAGGAAGAGGAGGTGCTCTGCTCTCCGATCCATGTTTGCCTCAGTCCTCTAAGCACCTCCCATCCTCCCCACCCCCCTGAACGCTCTCTCCCTTGCTCTGCGGATGCTGAGGGGCTAGCTGGAATGACCCAGGAGAGCGGGAGACACAAGGAGACGCTAGACGGGGCTGCTGGCCGGGAGGACTCTCTGATCCTTGATCTCTCCTCTTCTCCAGGCTGACATACAGAAGCCAGACCTCTGATCTGCAGATGCATGCCCATGTAGGAGGGCATGGCTGTGTATAACGAGGGTCTTCATCAAGCACAGGCGCGCAGAGGAGGACCAGCACAGAGACACGCAGGTAAGGGACAGCACAGCTGAGGCTTTTCTGATTGATTTCCATCTATATTGATCTGGGCAGATGTGAAGTTATTAACTATGTGTCGTCGTGAGATATAGATTACTTCACTTCATTGATTGCCCGCTGTGTTCGTTCATTGGTTTGGTAATTTAGGAAGATTCTGCGGTGTGTTCTGTTTGTTAATGCCTGCTGTGCTGCATTTTCATTGATTAGAAGGGAGATGAGTCTGTGAATGAGCACTGTGGCAGCATGATAATGGAATATGTCTCCTGGAGGACATGGTCCGATGGACATCTGGGAATGTCATCCTGAAAGAAAAGGGTAAAATAGGCAGGAAGAAAAAATAAAAACAGATGGACAGAGGGTGAAAGTCTGTCATTTTAAGATGATTTATGTGTATGCTATTGGCTGTTTTTCAGGGGTGACCACTTGGCTTTGCCTTTGCATAGAAGAGTTTAAAAAAAGAGTGCTCACTGTAGCCAAAGAGCACGTAGACCCCATCAGTGTGATCATGGCTTTACACCCAGGAGGCTGGAAGTTAGGGTGGAAGCCTCGGGACAGAGAAGGAGGCGCTCATTTGCTGCATAATTAGAGTGGCATACTGAGAAGAGACATGTTGGAGCGAATGTAGCTTCACCGTGACGAACAATTACAATTATATTACACATGATGTCAACTCTCCTGTGGCGGCCCCTGCAGAAAAGGGAAAAGGTCTGCTTGCACCCTCTGCCAACAGACGATTTCTCCCACAAATAATCCCAAGCCTCATTGCATGACCCTAAAATGGTTGCGGTGCTTCTGTAAAATTGCCTTCCTGCGGTTGACCCAGGGTGAGGGTGCCTATCCAGAGGTGAGATGAGGTGTCCAATGGGGTTGCGTGAAGCATACATCACCGGGTTTGAGTGCAGGAGGAATCAACAGAAGGAAAGCCATTACTTGTTGACCAGGCTTCTCTGATCGCATCATGTGACTGGGCAAGTTATAGAGGGGCAATCAGAAATAACGAGACAGGTGGAGCGCAGATGGAGACAGAGAGTACTGTCCTCAATGCCATGATAATTCTTTATAACCATCTTTGGATAATGGAGCAAACTACCCCTCAGTGATTAGAGAGAGCAGAACATCGCAATGGTAGTAGGGAAGAACAAATTTATTGATGGAACTTGTGGTGCACCCTCTCCCCCGAAGGCAGAGACAGGCAGCAAACTCTGGTAATACGTCTCATCGAGACGTCCTGACAAACAGCACATATAGAGCCTGGACATGCTTTCAGGATCAAATCAGTGTCAAAGTAGTCTAATGCACATATAAGGACAGCACTTGGCACAAGCTGGCAGCTCTGCATAAAAGCACATTATAAAAAGAGACATGGCACTCGATAAAACCTACACATCACACCAATTACATCGTAAGGCAATTAAATGAGATTAAACATCACACATTATTTCCACCTCGCAAACACTGCGCTGGTGTTAAGTATGAGAGGAAAGCTCTGTTACAAGACATGTAAACCCTCTGAGACATAAATGAATGAATGCACACACTCAAACCAACTGCTTCCCTTTGTATAGTTGATCTGCTCCCGTCTTCTTGTTTGCTCCTAAATCATCTCTGTGCATCTTTTAAAGATCTACAGGATCCAAAACACTTGAGGTGGAGGGGAATTAAGTTTGTGTTTTATTTGATCTCTTTTTATTATTATGAACAAATCTCAATACAAAAAAAACAACATTGAATTGATTCTGAAATGTAAGCGGCCACAGCCTCATGTAGATACTGGATCTTCCCATTGATCTATTGCAGCATTTGGTGACACATGTTTACTGTAGTTGCAATCAGCTTAGGCAAATTAATACATCTTTAATGTGCCTATTTGATGGTGTCTTTCGTTGTTTTGGATGGAGTTCAGTAGCATGTGGTTACAAGATGTCGCTATAGAGACAATGCTTGGTTAGTGTAATGTCCTTCTTAGATAGATTTTTGAATATTGTTCATAATACTACGGGCATCCCTCGAACATACCAGAAAAACATAGTGTTGTATAATTGAATAGGAGTGATTTATGATGAATGACTTTCAAAATACTATATAACTCCAATGCTGCAATATGACAGTTGAATGTGATTACAAAGATCTAAATAACAATTATGTTCTCATAGTAACCTTTTGTATTTAACAAAAAGAGAAACAATCGTTAGCGAGAAATTGAAAGAGAGGACAGCACATTTTATGACCAAAATGAGTAGCCACTCAGAAAACTGTATGACAAATCTCTCTTTCTCTCTAACTTGCTTGCACCCTCTCTCTTGTGGTCACCCTTGACAACCAGCTGTTCCTGCTGCTGGATCCGTGGACCAACCTGCTCGAGCTGGATTCATTGCATGAGATTCACACGAGAAACAGAAAAATGAATAATGACAACCAGAGTAATACACTGGCAGTGCTACTGGACCAGTAACAACGTGCATACTAATTGGTCTTTTGTGTCAGCACATATCTGAGAATCACGCTAGTGTGCTGCAGATGTGCAATGCAGTGTGTCAAGTCATTAAATTACTTGGCCAGGATCCCAAACTATCTACTTGGGAAAATAAAACACATGCAGCAAAGCCAAAAAAAAAAAACTACACCCTGACAAAGGGTTTGAAAGATAAGTGCAAGGACCAGCTTTCTGCACTAAATGAGAGAGAGAAAAAGCACCGGACATTGTTTTTAATGAAAACTGACACTTTGCTGAGCTGCTGTTATTCCATCAAAGAGCCAGAGCTACCATGGAGCCCAAACTGTCACTAACTGCACTCCCTGCATAAACATTGACACATTCCATTTTTGTATAAATGAAAAAGTCGAGATTTCAGAGAGAAGCCAACAGAGGGGTCTACATTTAGGGGTAAGCAGTATACCGGTTTCACATGGTGCCCATGTTAACGGGTTAGAGCAGCCACTCATTAAACTGTACTTCTTGTGGAGACAAACATCATTTTGAAATGACAGTATGCATGCAGCACTGGTATATATGGACGTGCACTCCAGACAAAATTAAAAGTAGAGACGCAGGCGTACCTGCTGCGTTGATCTCTGATGCCATGTGTCAGTGACCAAGCGGAGGTAACATACTACTCATAGTCTGCTACGGAGCGCAAAGTGGTTAAATGAATAATCATAAGTTATGGAACAAAGAATCTCTCTTTGAATTTAAAAGGACTAAAGCCAAAAATGGACACTTCACGTCCCAAGTCTAGCAACAGCAATAATTTAAACAAGGCCTGGGGTCACGCAGCTTTTTGAAGAGGTGTGCAGTCGTATTTGCATTCTCTCACGAACTTAATTGTAATTCTGCACATAAATATGTACGCTTTACACACACATGATTAAAGCAAAAGCACACTCATTAGTGTTAAGATCACATTGATGACTTTTTTTCTTGTTTCACAGGGTACAAACACAGCCAAGGGCCACGACGCTAATTACATTATAAACTGGTTGCATGTTCCCTTTTCTGCCACAGTGATGCTCCAAAGGCTGCTTCAAAACAAAGCATGTCATGGTTGGGGGTCACAAAGCTTCCATCTAGTCTACTGAGAGCAGGACGGTTGGAAAACAGATGACTGCAGTGTTTTCCTAACTCTTTCATCTGATAATACTATCCGATCGGTTTTGCTTTCCAGCGTCCTTCTTTTGTCAACGGCAAAAAATAAAAGGCACAGAAGGATTTGAAAATTGCTATAGATTTGTGTGCGGTAACAAATACGCCATTTTGCAGGTGAGGTTAGTTTTAGAGAAATAGCCAGGGGTAAGACTGAGGGAGGAGTGGTGGGCGGCGATGAGGAGAAACGAGGAGATCAGTGAGCTAAACTGAAGGAGCCATCTGGAGTCTTTTTCGAAGGTCTCACGTGTAGAAACTCCGAATGAACTAAATCTTTCAGTACAGTAGTTTCCCCAAAGGAATGGGAAACAGATTTGAAAACAGATTTATTTACTTAATATTTCATAAGAATTTAATGGATTTCTTTCACTCTCCCTCTGTTTGACCCTCCATCATCGCAATATCCCACCTCCCTCTTTCCCTGTGTTGTCTCTTCTTCGCGTTTGTATTATTAAAATCTGGTAGACGTAGGTAAAATGTTGCTCATGGGCACAGCGATATTTAGCTTAGTTGCCTAAAGTGTTGAACTGTAATATATATTTTTTTAAATAGAGCTAGTGTTGGGCTTTTATGTGATTGTTGACTGTTGTTATTAATGTCGTCATGTTGGAGATTTTTAATTAAGAAGTTTTAATTAAGAATAATGTTCCAGTTATTCACCCCGTTAAATCCAGAATCAAGAGATTCATAAGTCCTCTTTTGTTAATTTTGGAGGCACCAAAAGACAACAGCACAACCTTATCTTATCTTATCTACTAAGCCTTAATAATTTACAACAATACCGGAATGTTTTCCTAATTCTATGTTATCCTCAACATCTTTTCCATTACCCAAAGTCCATTACACATCCAGTACCAGTTTGGACCGAGACATTTGTCCTCAAAAAGGATGCATAAACGAGCACGATCCAGATAAAAAAGAATTCAATATATTCCTCGAGTCTGGAGGCTGACAGGGAAGCAGACGAAGAAAGGAAGAGAGAAACGGAGAAGGATGTGGGAGATGATTGCTGATTTCTATTTTCTTTTCATCCACAGAGGAGTAAACAACTTGTGATTGTTAGAAAGTAGATTCTAAGAGCCTAGTACACAACAACAACCTCGCCTCACATGGGTCAAAATTTAACAAGCCTCTTGTGAAAATATTTAATTATCTCACAAGTGATCTGAGGAGAAAAATCACTAATAATGATCACCAGCAGTGAAAGTGGGGCATTTGCTAACAAGCTGTCAGAAAGTGAATTGCTTTGCTCTTAAACCAGATATAGCTCCGTAAAGTGGAACCAGCACATAAGCGGAGAGAGTCCAGCCTTCTCTACATCACTGCCTGCTTGACTCACTACGCATCACGTCTA